CTTTTAGAAACCGAGATAATTGAGCTCAAAGTGCACAAATAGGTTGGAATTTTGTTTTTTTAATTATACTTCAAGCTTAATTATCTCGGTTCCTAGAAAAAAATATATAAAATTTGTCATTTAATAAAATGTTGGTGTTATTATGATTAACATGAATCAGTTGACAAATTTTTGATATCTCGTTTAGAAACCGAGATAATTGAGCTCAAAGTGCACAAATAGGTTGGAATTTTGTTTTTTTAATTATACTTCAAGCTTAATTATCTCGGTTCCTAGAAAAGATATATAAAATTTGTCATTTAGTAAAATGTTGGTGTTATTATGATTAACATGAATCAGTTGACAAATTTTTGATATCTCGTTTAGAAACCGAGATAATTGAGCTCAAAGTGCACAAATAGGTTGGAATTTTGTTTTTTTTAATTATACTTCAAGCTTAATTATCTCGGTTCCTAGAAAAAAATATATAAAATTTGTCATTTAATAAAATGTTGGTGTTATTATGATTAACAATTTAACAGTTGACAAATTTTTGATATCTCTTTTAGAAACCGAGATAATTGAGCTCAAAGTGCACAAATAGGTTGGAATTTTGTTTTTTTAATTATACTTCAAGCTTAATTATCTCGGTTCCTAGAAAAGATATATAAAATTTGTCATTTAGTAAAATGTTGGTGTTATTATGATTAACAATTTAACAGTTGACAAATTTTTGATATCTCTTTTAGAAACCGAGATAATTGAGCTCAAAGTGCACAAATAGGTTGGAATTTTGTTTTTTTAATTATACTTCAAGCTTAATTATCTCGGTTCCTAGAAAAGATATATAAAATTTGTCATTTAGTAAAATGTTGGTGTTATTATGATTAACAATTTAACAGTTGACAAATTTTTGATATCTCTTTTAGAAACCGAGATAATTGAGCTCAAAGTGCACAAATAGGTTGGAATTTTGTTTTTTTAATTATACTTCAAGCTTAATTATCTCGGTTCCTAGAAAAGATATATAAAATTTGTCATTTAGTAAAATGTTGGTGTTATTATGATTAACAATTTAACAGTTGACAAATTTTTGATATCTCGTTTAGAAACCGAGATAATTGAGCTCAAAGTGCACAAATAGGTTGGAATTTTGTTTTTTTAATTATACTTCAAGCTTAATTATCTCGGTTCCTAGAAAAGATATATAAAATTTGTCATTTAATAGAATGTTGGTGTTATTATGATTAACATGAAGCTGGGCGAGCTGGAGACGGTTGAGGAGGAACTTTGGCTAATGGAGAACGACGACGAGTGACTCCTGGAGTCTGTTTCTTTGCTGGAGCTTTTTGTGATCCATCAGCGTTTCTGCCGGATCATTCTTGACGTAGGCGTCAAGCGTCGACGTAGAGCAACTAGGGCAGTAGAACGTCCTGTTGGAGAACGACGTCGAGAAGCTATCTAATTTGTCGTTGACGTCGCTGGAGTTCCTTGGGTTCCTGTGCCTCGTTGGATGATTGTTGAAGCATCAGCAGATCTCAAGCGTCGACGAGGTGCCACTGGACTCGACTTAGCATCTCGTGTTGGGGTGAAAGAAGCGTGTCCTGGAGCCAAATGAGCATCTGAAAAAAAATGCATTCAAAACACCTTCTCAAGTTTGGAAAAAACACTTACCATTTGATTGGGTTTGAACCAGGCAATTGATTCTCAGAAAAATCAAAAAAGGGCCTTTCCGAATTCCATACAGAAGGAATTCTGGAAAGATCCGAATAATAGTAAGACATCTTTTCAGTGAAGTTGTCAGAATGGTACTGTATTAGCCAGACTTGCGCCTGTTGATCTCTTCCGCCGCGTAGAGGCTCAGTACATAGAAAGAGTAACAAGTTTTATCTGGGAAAAACTTGTCAAAAAACCTCGTCCGTTGGATCATTTATGGGATTTGTTGTACATCATCACATTGTTCATCAATTTCCATATTGGTTGTCTTCGTCGTCCATTGATTCATTTCATCATAGGATGAGTTTCTTCTTCTCTATTTTTTTCTACATCCATTTCTATCTCCAATCTTCTTGTTCACCCGATCCATCAACGTGACTTCTAGTTGCTCCTTCTCGTCTCTCATCTGCCTGATTCCATTTTTCAACTTCGCATTGGCTCTCTGAATTCGTCCATCTTCGTTTTCAAGTCGTCGTTCTCCTTCTTCACGGCTCGATTCTTGATGACTACCTCTTTCAATTTCTCAATTCGCAAAGCGGAAAAGTTTCCGGTGCTGACTGGATGGCTTCTTGACTCTTCTTGGGCATTTTTTGAGAAGTTGTTCGATTAATCTGGAAATTTCAGAACATATTTTAACAAATAAGAACTTAAGTTTTGGAACTGAAAATTTTTTGTCAAACCGGGCCGTTCATACCAGAAAATTGCCAAAATTAAGCACTGAAATGAGAGATGTGCCACTTTAAAATCGACTATCTTCCTTTTTTGGTTTTATGCAAGAAGGTGGTTCATTTCAAAATTGAAACTCTAATCATACATGATGTAATTTTTTGTAAAATGGGTTTATTGCTATTTTTGAGGCTAAAAAATCACTAAATGTAAGTTTAAATTGAGGACATGAATCTTTTTGATTTCAAGTCATTTTTGAGTTAAAATTTCGATTTCGAAATAATATTTTATACTTCAGAAAAATGCTTACCTCTTGGATGGGCTCAAACCAGCAATTGACTTTCAGAAAAATAAAAATAAAAACGAAATTTCCGGATTCCATGCAGAAGGAATTCTGGAAAGTTCCTAATAAGGATTAGACTTCTTTTCAGTGAAGTGGTCTGGTACTGTATTAGCCAGACTTTCGTCTGTGGATCGCTTTCTCCGCGTAGAGGCTCAGTACATTCAAAAGAGTAACTAGTTTTATTTGGGAAAAACTTGTCAAAAAACCCATCGACGTTTCTTCTTCTTGACCTCATTTTCAAGCTGCATGTTGATGGCGGTATACATCTGGCATTGGATAAGGATCTCTCAAAAAACCTCAGCCACTTGTTGATCTACCGATTCTTCCTTAACTCGCTCCTCATCGTTGTTTTGTTGAAGTTGAAGCATCTGAGTTTCCGCCTGAGTTTCGACCGGAATAGCTGGAACCGAAGACGTGACTTTATTGGGAACACCTGAAATACCAACATTTAAAGAAAATATTTTGAAAACAAATAAGGGTAATGAAACCATAATTGGTAATGTGACCTAAAAAAATTTGATATAAGATCCTTACCTGGCTTTCGGTTAGATTGTTCTCATCAGCCAACTTTTTCCGCTGATCTATTGATGGATAGGGGTTCTCATTGAACACCGCCAAGAGCAATAGGTTTTGTTCATCAGTAAAAGTCACCCGACTTGTCCTCTGAAAACGTTTTTTGAACACTTGCAGCAAAAAAACTTATTACCTTTTTATATGTGCTCTTTCTTTTCAGTTGTCGTTTTGAGCTAATTGGCTCACTGAGTTCTTCCGATTGCTGATCGTCCGTTTGGTCCTCGACATCCTGAGAACGTTTTGGGAAGACATAGTTTGTTCCTCGGTGTAGACAATCTGAAAATTGAAATGAATTGAGTGAAAATTGTGTTGAATTAATTAAGTTAAAAAGAAGGAACATTCAGAGAGACATTGAAACTAATAATTTGTGGGTTATGAGCTTTTACAACTTTTCTAGCGTTGTTTTAGGAGCCGCTCAAAAAGAACATATCTTGTTTTTTGGGTCATAGCTCGGTTTGTTTTCAAGCTATTGTTTTGAGGTTGAAAGTTTTGAAAGTGTAATAAAAGTTCAAGTTTGAGAAAAATGCTTACCTCTTGGTTGGGCTCGAACCAGCAGTTGATTTTCAGAAAAATAAAAGGAACTTTCCGAACTCCAAGCAGAAGGTATTCTGGAAAATCCCGTACTGTATTAGCCAGACCTTCGTCTGTGGATCTCTGTCGCCGCGTAGAGGCTCAGTACATTCGAAAGAGTAACAGGTTTTTTAGGGGAAAGCCTGTCAAAAAACTCGGAAAGTAGATTATTTAGTTATTGAATCCTGGTCAGCGGTCGGTGTCAAGACCGATGACAATCCTCACATCATATTCTCTAAATCCTTTTTTTCTTACTGCCGAACTTTGTCTTGTAGCTGTTGGATCAGTGCATCCTTCTGGGTGTTTTCACCTTGAAGAGCGGAGAAATTTTGTTTGAGATTTGTTATCTCTGCTTGAGAGTTCGCCAGATTCTGATCCAGTTCAGAGATTTGATCTTTGAGAGTTTTCCGTTCTGTGAAAATAGCACCGATGAAATTTTGGACCAGAAACTAGGCATTTTTTAGTTTGAAAGTTTTCACATTCACTTTTTGTGATGATATTTGAAACACAGCTTACTTCTTTTGGGCTTCGGACGAATTGCAGTTGGCATTCCCCTGGCTGTCGACAAGGATCCTGAAAAGAAATAAACGAGACTTGACTTTTGAACCTGAAAAAGGGTTCTCACCTTTGGATGGTGGGTGGCCGAATTGTTGGAAACCAGTAGAGTTGCCAAATTGTGGTTCACACTGCTGGAGCCGGAGCATGAGCCAGTAGTGGTGACGGGGCAAAGGGATACTGCAATTGGAAAGTTTGGAACATTCTTTGCCAATTTTGCGGATCCACCACTTCTTGATCTTCTACTTCTCCCGATTCTCCACCATCTTCCTCCGCGTCCATCTCCTCGTGACTACGCTCCATGACACCTGGTCATGAGTAGTCAGCGTCGTCCAGTTTCTCCTCTGAAACTTTTGAGCATTTCCGATCGATTCTTTTAATAAAAAGGACACTCACTCTTTTCTTTTAACTGTTTTAAGTTTCTGGCCTTTTGAAATTTAATGTTTTTGAAAAACAAACTGATATTGGAAATTGGGTTCAAAAATGCATTTAGAGATTAAAATGGACACTTACCATTTGATTGGGTTTGAACCAGGCAATTGATTCTCAGAAAAATCAATAAAGGGCCTTTCCGAATTCCATACAGAAGGAATTCTGGAAAGATCCGAATAATAGTAAGACATCTTTTCAGTGAAGTTGTCAGAATGATACTGTATTAGCCAGACTTGCGTCTGTTGATCTCTTCCGCCGCGTAGAGGCTCAGTACATAGAAAGAGTAACAAGTTTTATTTGGGAACAACTTGTCAAAAAAACCCATCAGATCTCGTTAGCTTCGTTGACAGTCGTTTCATCTTCTTGACCTCATTTTCAAGCTGCATGTTGATGGCGGTATACATCTGGCATTGGATAAGGGCCGCTGGGTGCTTCGTGTTTTCCAGTCCCCACTCATAAAACGGCCGAGGTACTATTCGCACTCGTCAAGTTGCCTCTTCCGTTACTTTGAGCTGTTGGATGGACGACAGGATTGATCTTTTGCCTGTAGAACCCGGAGACTTTGTCGAAGAAGTTGTCGGTCTTGTAGGTGTTCGCGAAAACCGATTCCAACGACTCTGATCTTTTGAGCACTGGGCGTTCTTCTTCATAATCTTCATCGGCACTCAAAAAATTCTCGTAGTCGAATTCAATGCTGAAAATGGTTTGAAATACAGTAAACGTCAACAAGGTCTATTTTCAGCTGATTTTCGGCTACTTTTCAAGAGTCTGGAACTCAGTTTTCAAGTCTCCAATAACTCTAACTACAAAAAAAAACAAAATTTCCTACAACTCTGTCTAAAAATCAAATTTCCAGCCATTCTAAGAGCCGCTTAAAATTCCAGAGGCTGACGACGAGACACGCTGAGTCTCTAACCTCTCTCGTTTTCTAGACGAGCTAGAAAGTTGGTTTTTAGACAGAATTGCACGTTCAAAAATGAAATTTTTGGAATATTTATAAAAATATTTTTAAGGTATGTCTTGCACCCAAAAATTTTCAAAGTGATCAAAAACTTGACAGCCGAGCTCCAGTCTCCGGAAAATGTATAATTTCAAGAATAATCCAAAATTCCATTTAAAACCCTACAATACAATCCAAAAACCAAATTTCTAGCTCATCTAGAATTCGAGATTATTTGAAGTTTTCCGAGGTTAGAGACGCATTGCGTCTTGTCGTCTGCGTCTCTAGCGGTTTCTAAAAGTGCTAGAAATGTGATTTTTGACAGAATTGTAGGAAATTTTGTCTATTTTATAATTAAAACGGTTTTCACCCTTCAAAATTTTGATCGGTAACTTCAAAATTTTGATCGGTAAAGTGATCGGTAACTGAAAACTGAGCTCCAGACTCCGGGAAAGTGTTGAAAACTCACTCCGAAGCTAGATACGGCAAATTGAAGTCATGCTTTTTGAGCCCTTTGTCCTGAATAGTTTCCGGTTTTCTGCCTGGTTTCGCGGTGAAGCCTTCTTCTTCTTCTTCATGGTGAGCTTGGGAGGAGGAGCCCCATGGAGCCGATTTCTGACGTAGATGAGCTCCTTTCTGGTCATTATGACCGAACGAATGGTCTTCTTTGGAGCTTCATTGACCTCGGTGGTAGTGGCAAAAAGAAGAGAATAATCCAAAATCCATTCGATTTGAGACCTATATCATCCGAGAACCTATATCATCTTAGAAATTGCAGAAGCAAAGGGGGGACCCCATGGTGATTTTTTTGCGAAATTTTTTTTTCGAAAAAAACTTGAAAACTTCAGGGGATCATTTTCTTTTATTAAAAACTTATGAACTGCTTATGTTATATGCTTTGAAAAATGTTTTTTGAATCATTTTTCAAACTACATTCTGATTTGTAAGAAGGATAAAATTGATGATTGGTGAAAGATTTTGAAAGCTTTTTTGATTGTAATTACAATGTCAAATGTTCCTCTATGATCTGGAAAAGCTTTCTAGATTTTCCAGAAGAACAACCAAAAATAAAATCAAAAAACAATAACGGGAAGAGGAATCGAACTTACAACCGGTTGGATACGTTTCATCTCTCCTCGCCACTACACCACTGCTCATTTTCTCGAAACTGGTAGCTCTTTAGCAAAATCTAAAAATAGATTTGAAAATGTCTCATTCTCAGCTTTCGAATGATATAGGTCTCATACAGAAGTTCCACCCCCCGATTACAACCTTCCCTAGTTAAATAAATTTACAAATCTCAGAACTCTACAATTTTCACTGTTTCAAAATTTCTAGAAACAGTGAAAATGTTTTTTTTATTGTTGCGGCTTCTGTTTCGACATTAAAAATTCTGAAAAAAAGAAATTGCTATTTTATTTGGAATACGGTCATTTAATAGAATAAACCCCTTAACCTTCACCTTTGAGCCTATTTATCTCGCTCCCTCGGAGAAAAATGAAAAAGGTTTCAACTAGTAAAATGTTTGTAATATTATCAGCAATATTTTATCAGTTAATCCCTTTTTGATATCTTTCATATGAAACGAGATTTATAGGCACAAAGCTTACGGGTTGGAGGCATATATTACGATTACTGCTGCTCAACTTTTTTTTTCTTCATACCATCAGATAACTCACGACGTACCACATCACACTTCGGCAAAACTTGAATAATAATCTCCTAAGATTAATGTAACCAAATAATACAAGATTTATGACCCTCTGACAATTGCATTCCTACTTTTTTGACGATTTGTTTGTTCAACGTCCTTTGTTGTTACTTTCTCAGGAACTGAGCAATAAGAATTGTCTGTAGTGTCACTCAAGTGTGATATCTACATCTTTGAAGTTTATGGTCTCATAATTTTTACTATTTTCAGAGGAAAATGTGGCAATTTCAGTTTATTTTGCAGTTTCATAATAATCCATTTACCCCAGAAATCCTAAATTTTAACGGTTTCAAATTTTCCAGAAACAGTGAAAGTAATACTTTCGATTGTTTCATCGGTAATATTTGTCTCTGTACATGATCTCAATAAAAACGTTTGGCACGCTAATGCCTCTTCTCCAACCCGTCAATTTTAAGCCCATGGTCCCTGTAAGAAAAGGCCCAGGCCCCCCCATTACACTTTGAACCCATAAATCTCAGCTACTGTATGAGATATCAAAAATCTGTCAACTGATAAAATGTTAGTCATATTATGATCAATGTTTTATCAGTTGACCACTTTTTGATATCTCTCACAGAAATCGAGATAAATTGGTTCAAAGTTCGGAGTGTCCCACCTTCTTTAAAGTTGAAAATAGAGTGCCTACCACTGTTATCAGTTGAAAATAAAAAATGCAGAGTTTTCAAAATATCTTGAAACCGAAAGTTTTTAGAAAATTTGAATATAATTTGCTTTTAAACCGGAAATATGTTCAGAAGAACAAAAGGGGTAAATCTTGAATTTACAATACTGGCAGGAAATCAAAAAAAGAAAATTCGAAATGCTTAAAAAATTATCGCGTCAGCAACAATACTATTTTAAAACCTACATTCATTTATTATGTAATTTCTGTGAAACCGAAAAATCATTTCGAATGCAAAACTCATTTTTCTTTGCCTAAAAAACATTATCTTCTAGTAATACCACAAATTTACTCTTCTCCTGAAAACTTTAAATGACCATAACTTGGTTCAAAATCATTGTAGAACCTCTATCTTTGGTGTGTCTTGTAGGAAAATTCATGTGAAATTGTATAATTGTACACATTCATGACCACAATATTGAGTTAAACACGATTTTTAAATCTTCCGGTGTCATTTTGAAACAGCAATTTTTGGGAAATGATAAAACTTATAAATCGCTCAAAATGTCTAACAAAACGCTTGAAGAACCGAGATTCTAAGACAATTTTGGGCCGAGTTGTAGCCATTTGAAGTTCATAGGTGTTATAGATGCAGAGAAACGAGAGCGCTCTTGTTTCTCTGCGTCTTCTCTCGCCCTAGAAACTTCAAATGGCTACAACTCTTGAAAATTTTAGGTTAATTTTCAATCGATTTTGCGAAGCTTTCCAATGTCTCAAATAAGTTTATTCATAATTAGAAAAAAAAATACTGTTTCAATTTTCCAGAATTGTTTGAAACTCTAACAACAAAGCAATCAGGAATGACTTGTCAGATGAAAAATATCAATGGAAAGAGTTCTTAACTTTGACCCAATTTATCTCGGTTACTGTGAGTGGTATAAAAAAGTTGTCAACTATGAAAATGTTATTGATAATATGATGAATATTTTATCAGTGTACCACTTTTTGATCAGTGTTTTTCACATCTATATATTCAGAATCATTGGTTTTGGATTTTGAATTCCCATTTTTTCATTTGCATCTGATTCAGAAGGCGTTGAGCTTTCCTGATAGCTACATCTCTGCTTCAGCAAACACTTTCTACACCAAAGCTTTCGATTCTCCATCCCAAAATGGGCACGATATTTTTTTCCTGGCTTTTGTTTCTCTGAAAACTTTAAAAAATCAAAAAATCGATACTTCAAAATCTCACCATCAATCATTTTTCGTGTTCTCTTCTTCGTTTTTGCTCTTCGATAGTTTTGAGCAGGTGACCATTCGGGATATTTTATTTTATGCTCTTCGTGCTCTTTTTCAGCCTTATCAAAGTACTTTTTGCGTTCTTCTGGGGACAATTCTTGCCATTTTTTACCCAAAATTTTGTTGTTTTCAGCAGATGGCGTTCCAGGCTCCGTACACAATTTTGGCCGATGCTCCTTGGCAAAACACATGAACGCGTTCAATGGCTTCTTGATTCTCTGGTGTTCATCATCTTCTGGAGATTTAGAAGGTTCCTTGACGTCTTCAGCTAGAGATTCTGATTCCTGATGGTCTTCTGGAGCCAACACGCCTTCATTAACTGGCAACGGTGTAGCCAGAATGGAGAATTTCTTGGTTTTCTGATCTTTATCTTCTGGAGATCTAGAAGCTTCCTTGACATCTGGAACGTCTTCAACTGATGGATTCGGGTGGACGACGTTGGCGAGGTCATCTAGAGCCATCACGCCTTCAACTGGAGGATTCTGAATGGGCAACGGTGTGACCAGAATAGGGAATGGCAGAAAACCAGGGGTCAGTCAGAAAAATCAAAAAGGAACTTTCCGAAATCCATGCAGAAGGATTTCTGGAAAGAACCGAATAATAGAGAATGAGAAGAATTTTTAGAAAAATAAGGGGAGCTTTCCGAATCGATTCATTTGCAGGAATCAATAGAAAACCCCCCGGACTACTGTGGCTGCCGTTCAGTCAGGATGCCGAGCGAATACAATGACATTGTTTCTTGCCAACGCACAGACACGCCTGCTCCCTCTAACCGGCAGACAACCAGAGTCTGAAGGGGAAATGAGAGACGCAGAGAATCGAGGTGGGACGGGTGGGAAGGCCAGGTGGGGTGGGTAACAGAGAACGGGTGAGAAGGAGGGTCCTCCTCTCTCTCTGTCACTTCGACAAAAAGTTATAAAACGGTCATATATGATGTGAAGAGACCCTTAAGTAGGGTAATTTATGTGAAAAGACTAGCTGGGATTAGAGGAACAGGTGGGAATGATTGACCTTCCCAGGAGTCAATTTGGAGATATCGGAAGGTTGTGTCTCTCTTGAACCTTAACAAAAAATTATGAGAATGTATTGAGTGCTTGTAGAGACTAGAAGTTTCTAAAGGGAAATAATGGAGAGTAAATTCTTGATAAGTTCTTGAAGAGTAAATTCTTGATAATTTGAAAGCCCCGGATAAAGTTATATAGATAAAGCAATTGATTTGAACCTTTCAGAGTTTTACAAATGTATTTTTTTGCCAATGAGAATCAAACAATCAATAAACAAAAATATTCATTTTCAAAAAAAACTGGCTTATTTTGTCCCACATTTTGTACCACTTCCTCTTATCAGTATTTGTCCTCGTATCCTCCGCCTTTCCATAAGGATTGAACAGAAACACTGAAAACAGGAATATACGTTTTTGAATACTCCTAAGATATTGAACCTACTCACATTTCAAAATGGCATATTTGTTGAATCGTTAGCTGGTTCCTCTTGTCTCCGTGAACAACGAGCAGCAGAATTTCCGAAGTGTTCACGAGGAATTATTTTTATTCTGAAAAAAATAGTAAAGTTAAGAATCGCAAGTACTCTGAACCTTAAATGGCATACTCAATTTCAATTATCCTGTTAGAAACTGAGATAATTGAGCTCAGAGAGCTAGTTTTGGGGGAGTTTCTACAGTATGTTTGGAATTTTCGCTAAGTTTTCAATACCCAACAAGATTTCGCAATCGGACAGATTTATTGCTTTTTTCAAAGAGTGATTGTTTTTTCAATAATTCAGCGAATGAAAAACAAAACTCACTAATCTTTCACTGCAATACTCCATGGAGTCTCAATTTGGCAAGGTTTTCCGATGACGGAGGAAAAAAAAACGTGAGTAATAGATGTTACTGTAGTCAAAGATCACTTTTGATGAGTGCACAGAAAGATCAGTAAGAAAAATTTTACAGTGAAGTTCGTCGTGGATGTGGCAAATCATGCCAAAGGGATCCAGCCACCTCCACCTCCTTCATAAATCGACTCAATCCAATATGTGTTGAACGTCAACAGTAAGATTTATCAGAAATTTGTGAAAAAATAGATCACTTTTTTAGAAATGTTCATGAACGTCAAGAAACACTGTTGAGCTCCGAGCAAAAATCAACTGGACAGAGAGAATCGGAAAAGGAAAAGGACTGCTGGACAATAAAAATGTATTGAGTTTTCTATTATTATATAATATTTTCAATTCCCCGGTAATTTTCACATTTTGAATTAATAAAAATTATTGAATTTCGTTCTTGTGTACCAAAAAAAATTAGGCTGAGGAGAATATTACAAGTTCACAAAGTTAGATTAATGTCTCTCAAAACTCGGAATATAAAACTCGGAACTCGGTTGGCGGCGGAAGGTGAAACTCGGAATATGAAATTCGGAACTCGGAAAGTAGAATTTAGATCACAGAACTCAGAAGGCGGAATTTGGAATTCGGAACTCGGAATCTGGAATTCTCCGGCAAAAGGCAATGAAAACCCAGAAAAACACAAGAACGAAAGAAACTGAAAGAAACTGACTTTCTGTTACCTTATGAAGGGAGAAAAGGGGACCAGGTTTAGCACATCTCACCCAAAGCTAAGCTTGTTCACAATTGTCCCGCCTATTTTTCACTTTTGTGTGTCTTTTTACGTCATCAGATGACATGTGAAGAAGAAAATAATCAAAATATGATAGATAACGAACACCTGAGGTTAAGGGTGAATCAAAGGAAGCCAGATTAATACCGTCCTCCAAACAGGAAGGAAGAAACTAAAAGCAAGGATGTGAACCGCGGCATCAGATTAATTTGTTGATTGCAGCCTTAGAGCTTGCAGATCCCCAATAGAATTTCAGAGTAATTTCCAAATTTGCTAGAATTCGACCAAATGGAGTGGTGACGACTGTCAGCATGTTTTTGGAACCCGGTAAAGTGAATGAAACTGGGTCATTATGACGTGGCATCCAACTCACTTTCCCATGCATATGCAACAAAAACCCGTAGCCAATGCACATACTTTTGAAAAGTTCCAAAAACTAAAGTTTAAAAAAAACTTGTTCACAAGTAGAGTGCTCAGTAAAATGGTAAATTCCACAAAAAAATTGAGTTTGAGTTGTTCAGGTCCATTTTTGAATACTAAAATCTTGAATCCAAATATTGAAAATATAAACTTTCAAATTTCAAAACCCTAAAATTCTAAAAATCTTAAAACCTAAACTTTCAAATTTCCAAAACCTGAAATTTTGAAAATCTTAAATTCAAAAACCCAAAAATTTAAAGTTTCGAAATTTCAAAAAAATGGAGAGGGTGAGGGAGGACTTTAAATTTCTAAAAAACAAAAAAAATCAAAAATCTAAAAAGCTTGAATTCAAAAATCTTAAAGCCTAAACTTTCAAATTTAGAAAACCTTTCAGGGTTTTTTCCATCAGGATTTTTTCTGATATCAGACTTTCGGACCCCAGCACGCTTGTAGAAATGTCTTGCCCAGCACGCTGGTAGAGATGTCACGGATGCGAGTACATGCTGGTGGAAAAAGCGATTGTGTTGGGAACCATTGGAAGAAACTTTGTCGCAGCGATGAGTGGGGGAATTGCCTATGTGTTCGTGGGGGAATTGCCTATGTGTGGATTTCAATGATGCCACCACTGAAGACATTCTCTTGGTCAAAATCGAGGAGGTCGCCCAACTCACTTGCTCGGAGCTCGGAAAACAAACACTCACTTATCGGCAAAAGCAGCATCAGAAGATCATTAAAGTTTTCCTACGCGACTACAAAAGAGTTTTTGTCGAGCAAAAGAAGGAAAAAAAAGAAGCAAGCCGAGTTGGACAAGACCAACAAAGGACATGAGTCTTCTTTCAGTCGATAATTCTAAGCCACATAATCTGCAAGCTCTAAGGCTGACAATCAACAAATTAATCTGATGCCGCGGTTCACATCCTTGCTTTTAGTTTCTTCCTTCCTGTTTGGAGGACGGTATTAATCTGGCTTCCTTTGATTCACCCTTAACCTCAGGTGTTCGTTATCTATCATATTTTGATTATTTTCTTCTTCACATGTCATCTGATGACGTAAAAAGACACACAAAAGTGAAAAATAGGCGGGACAATTGTGAACAAGCTTAGCTTTGGGTGAGATGTGCTAAACCTGGTCCCCTTTTCTCCCTTCATAAGGTAACAGAAAGTCAGTTTCTTTCAGTTTCTTTCGTTCTTGTGTTTTTCTGGGTTTTCATTGCCTTTTGCCGGAGAATTCCAGATTCCGAGTTCCGAATTCCAAATTCCGCCTTCTGAGTTCTGTGATCTAAATTCTACTTTCCGAGTTCCGAATTTCATATTCCGAGTTTCACCTTCCGCCGCCAACCGAGTTCCGAGTTTTATATTCCGAGTTTTGAGAGACATTAATCTAACTTTGTGAACTTGTAATATTCTCCTCAGCCTAATTTTTTTTGGTACACAAGAACGAAACTCAATAATTTTTATTAATTCAAAATGTGAAAATTACCGGGGAATTGAAAATATTATATAATAATAGAAAACTCAATACATTTTTATTGTCCAGCAGTCCTTTTCCTTTTCCGATTCTCTCTGTCCAGTTGATTTTTGCTCGGAGCTCAACAGTGTTTCTTGACGTTCATGAACATTTCTAAAAAAGTGATCTATTTTTTCACAAATTTCTGATAAATCTTACTGTTGACGTTCAACACATATTGGATTGAGTCGATTTATGAAGGAGGTGGAGGTGGCTGGATCCCTTTGGCATGATTTGCCACATCCACGACGAACTTCACTGTAAAATTTTTCTTACTGATCTTTCTGTGCACTCATCTAAAGTGATCTTTGACTACAGTAACATCTATTACTCACGTTTTTTATCCTCCGTCATCGGAAAACCTTGCCAAATTGAGATTCCATGGAGTATTGCATATCTTCGGGGTAAGTCATAGTCTATAATGCAAAAATATATTTTTTCCGATGACTGATGGCAACAAGAAACGACGAGCCACTTCTAAAAGCTTTTCAGCGTTTCGATCTGAAAATTTCTCATGTCTTTCAAAATATTTTGAATATGTTCCATTTTGGGTACGCTTTCTAATTTTGAGTTTTCGAACAAATTCAAAAATACTTATAATTTTTGAAGAATAATTGAAAAAACTGACCCTTTTCTTCGGGAAAAATCAATAATGAAAGAAATTTTCAAAAATCCGTTCATTTATAGGATTTCTTGAAAGTTTCTATTAATAAATAGATTTAGAAGAGGAAATATTCAGAAAAATAAGGGAAAAGAATTCCCGGAGAGACGTCTATTCAGTAAGTCGTCATGTAAGAGAAATGAAGGGGTATGTGAGGAGCGGGGCCACGATTTTGAAACGCTCACTGTTTCTCTGCGTCTACTCTATTCACTTTACTCTCTACCATCGATGAATCACTATTGAATTTCTCTGCGTCTCTCAAGTCGCTACACTCTCTGAGAAACAAGAAATTATTTCCAATGTTTACTTCGTAGTCATGCCACATAAGCATGAAAGAGTCAAAGAAGACGGCTACTACGGTGTCCCGTTTAATGGTTGACAAAACTTTGAAAGCTCTAAGATGAACCTAGAGGATTGGGATCACGTGTAGGATTTCGGAACAAACGATAGGCTGGCTGTCAGGAAATGAGCAATTTTGAGCTCACTTATTCCCTTTCATATGCAATGTATCGAAAATATTTCAACTTATGAAATGTTCGACACAATATCATTATTATTTTAACAGTTGACAATAGTTTGATAGCTCTCATATGTACCTAGATAATTGAGAGATATGAATTTTTCTAGGACCTCGGAATCATTTGAAAATTCATTATTCATTGTAAATTTTTCATTAAAGTCCTCATAAAATGCAGAGTGAGCACCCATAGTTTACAAAAAACAGGATGTCCATCCAAAATTAGTCTCTTTGTCCTTCTTTTTTTTTAATAAAAAATATTCTGGGTTGCCCTAGAAAAATTTGATTCATCAAGTTTTTGTTCGGAAGTGATCGCGAATAAACAGAAGTTCCAAAACCAAACCGATCACAAGAAAGTCTTCCTTTCCTGAAAATTTCCAAATTTTCAAGTTGTCTGAGAGAATCGAACATATCACCTTTTTCCTGCCAGAAACACAATTTTACGATAATCAGCTGCTGAATTTCTATTCACATTTCGAACTTCTATTCTCCATCTGAAAGTCAAGAATAGTCCCTCTTTTCAGTGGGATCAAACAATCCACTTTATTTTCTACTTAATTTAGTTCATTGCCTCGCCGGATAACCCCAGTGAAGCGGATCCAAAAATTAGATTAGTGTTCGAACACATTCTTTCGAATGGTCGGAACTCCAGCGTACCTTGAGTAACTGGGTTAAAACCGACGATAACAGCAAGACGACGCCTCTTATGTATTTCTATGTACCGACATCAATCGAGGTCCGCGTCGGCCACAAGAGAGCGCGCGTTTGAATAGACGCAGACATGCGAGGTAGTGTGAAGAGACGGCAGACGAGGAAAGAAAAGGGAGAAGTAGTGGAGTGGGAGAAAAGGGGGAAGGGAGAGAAGGAAATCAAAATACAAGGAGAAAATCAAAATACAAGGCACGTTACGTGCCTTGTATTTTTGAGGCACGTAAAAAATAAAAAAAAAACTTTAATCTTTTGAACACTGCGTTTTTATTCTGTTCCGTTTGCAAATAATTTATTTCCAAATAAAATGAACCAAACCAATCCTTAATTTCATAATTGTTGGTTTTTTTTTAATTTTATGATTTTTAGAAGAGAAATTCAGAAATTTGAAAATTGGAATGCAATTTTATAATTTTTGAACACTGCGTTTTCATTCTGTTCCGTTTCCAAATAATTTATTCTTGAATAAAATGAACTAAATCATTCCTTAATTTTAAAGTTGTTGGTTTTTTTTGAATTTTATGATTTTTAGAAAAATTTTATGATTTTTAGAAGAATTTTATGATTGTTAGATCGATTTTTGCTTATCGCTGGGTGTTACAAAGGAATTCAGAGGAATTCAAATGTCGCCGACGAGTTTTTCTGGTGAAATTATCGATGTTTCTCCGAAAAAGAAGATTTCTTTTAGATTTTATCGATTTTTCGCTGAAGAAATAGCTGTTTTGCAAGGAAAAGCCTTGCTGGACAGTGTAATTTGGTGTCGCCAAGGAGCTTTGGTTGATTTCATCGATTTTCGCTGCTAGAAAACAAGTGTTAAGCTTTGTTTTGTGTCGGAATCTGTTGGCGGAAGCTAGTTATCGATTATTTTCACCGAAAATAATTTTCAACTCGATTTTGCTGAATTTTCGTCTGTAATATCGCTCGTTTCTTCAATTTTCGTCTTTTTTCGTCAATTTCTCTTTGGTTTTCCGCTGTAACACCGAGAAATTCAATTTTTTGCAGAAAAATTGGCGCAACTGGATTCGGACGACGATGAACAACATCGGAAGGAGACCGAAGGCCGCTCAGATGACTAGAAGTCGATCGAATCCGCCACTTGGATGGAACTCGACGAGATGAAGCTGCTCGAGGAACGAGAGGTGAGACTTGCGAAGAATAACGAAATTGAAGCGAAATTTCGTGCAGAAATCAAGCAGAAAACTAGTTTGAGTGAGCATAGTATCACAAAACTGGGGAATATCGTTTTCGAATTAATTGTTGAAAAAGAAGAGCTAATTGATGACCGAGAAGAGCTGATCGCAAAGTACATAAAATTCGTCGAAAATCTGCAAAAAGAAGCGGAAAAATCACAGAATGATGCTGAAAATTTGCAGAGCTCGTCAACTGCGTCGCCACCGCCACCGATGGAAATCAAGGAGGGCAAGGGTCATCAACAGACTTGGTACGATTTTTGCAAGAGAATGAAATCGATTCTGTCAAAGAGCTACAAGAAAAGCTGACAGAATTGAGTAAATTGAAGCGAGAAATTAATATTTTTCGCAATTTGCAGCAGAAACGTGAGAGAATCGCCGCCGCATCGTCGTCAGAGTCAAATGAAGAGCCAAAACCGGATTCGAGCATCGTCAAGTCTCTCCGATCAAAAGTTAAGGATTTGGAGCAAGACAAAGAGCGACTCGAAGAAGAAAATCAATCGCTGAAAGCAATTTCTTCCGGGAAGAAGATGTTGGGAAGGATTGAGGGCGGAAATTTGAGTCAGTCGAAGGAAAATGAGGAATTCCAGCGTCAGGATGGAGGTCGGACAAGAAGGAAGTTTTCCGGAAGCAAGAAGTCAATTGAAGCAAGAATGCCAGGTGAGTATTACTTGGAAAAAGAGAAAGCGCGTGAGAATGTGCACAACGAGACGATGAATGGGATTTTGCCTGAGTATGGGGGAGAAGAACAGAAGTTCTTCGCTAAGCCGCATTATCAGTCAAGTTGGAATATGGGTAGATCGTCGGAGATGGCAATGTTTGCGATGATGCAACAGATGAGAACTGAAGATCGTTTACCAGAACGTTCGTGTTAATTACAAGAGGGCTTTAGAAAAATACTGAATTCATGTGATGCTGACATTCTTATTAAAAATAATTCGAAATTGATTTTTATCAAAAGTATGTCCTAAAGAGGATTTCAAAATAATCAAAGGATTACAGAAGACAAACAATTTGGAAGGTACATTCATTTGAGCTTTATGTTTATCAGCTAGAAAATATATGGGAAATCATTGAGAACTTTCTGAGCAATAAAAGTTATTTCGAATGTATCTTTGATTTTTCAAACGTGCTGCTCCCTTCAAGAATGCCCGAGTACAGTGAAATCATAGAGACGCAGATGAAAAACGTTATGTTCGAATGTATGTATCTTCCAAATTTCTGTCTTCTGTAATCCTTTGATGGGTTAGAAATCCCGTTTGAGACATCCTTATTCTTTTTTCTGTCGATTCCCTCTCTTCATTAGCCCTCTTACTTGAATATCATACCACGTCACTGTAGTCTTTTGTTCGATTTCTTCCCCTCCTCCCCATTAGACATGTCTGCTCAGCAACTAATCGACAGCAGATGGCAAAATGCGAGAGTACAGTGAAATCATGAAGACGCAGATCATTGTCTCTTCTTTTGCTGTCGTGTCTTCTCAACAGAGGACACAGCTGACCTGTCTGGTCGTGATGTAGACAGAACATAGAAAGAATGTAGACACACAGAACGTTAGCCATGCCCACACCGCCGTCTCTCTTCTTTCTTCTCATTTTATTCATTCTTCTTTTTCTGGCACAGTGTGTATGGGCCTCTATATTCTAATGTTTTTCCCAGAAACCCTGTGAATGAATGGGTTCGGGAAGAACACTTTATTTTTCCGAATTTCTATTATTCTTACTCTATCCAGAAAATCCTGAAGTGAATGGATTTGGAAAGAGTAATTTTCTAGTATTTTTCTGACTATTATTTTTACTATTTTTTGAGCTGTGAGCAGTTAAAGGTGAGAACAAACTTCTTCAATAGTTTTAATGTTTCGAAAATATAACAAAAATGATTGTATCGGTGGGACATTACACTCATTGAAAAAATTAGTTGTTTTCATTTCAAGTAGTAAATTGCGTAAATATATGACCGTGAATTTCTTTTCGGGTTCATAATTTTTCCAAAAGTCCGTGAATTCATTCGTTCCTGAAATGTTATGTTTCCCCAGGTAGAGTACCGGTCAATAAGACATACAACAACATATTTATATGTTTTTTGGGTATTTTGATTTCCAGGAACATCAAATAGTGCTAAGAACCAAAAGAAACAAGAAGCCAGAAAAGTTTTTGAAGAAAAAGAAAAAATGGAGTCCAAGTTGAAGTTCAAGGATGCTCAGATCCAGGGCCTGTTCGCGACGTCAACTCTTCATCGGAGAATGAAAGAAGATCCAGAAACCTCGAAACCTCGAGAAGGCGGCTCGTGATCAGCAAAAAATGAAGTGGGACACAGAGAAAAAAGAAATGGATCAGTTGGCAGAGAAGATCTTTGTTCAAATATAAAAAAGGAACGATCTTTCCGAATCTCTGAAGAAGGAGAGGGACACTTTAAGAATGGAGAGAGATGCTGAAAACGAGGCAAAGGACGAATTGAAGAAGACGATGGAAAATGATTGGAGGCTCAAAAAGCCGCTCTGGAAGCCCAAGTCCGAGAATCGCAGGCTTTCATGGTGCAGTCCCAACATCTTGCTCAACAACTGCCCAAAAGCCAAGGTTTGAAATAAATTCGTTTTGTCTTTCTCGAACAATTTCAATTTTTAGCTCCACCTGCTTCTCTTTTTCCAACAGCTCGTCCTGGAATGTCAGATGGGCTAGAAGAAGGTAAATCTCAATTTTCACGTTTTTGGATCCATAATTATTTTATATTCAGAACCATCGACTTCACCTATTTGAAAAGTTGTTATTTATGATTTTTATTCAGAAAACTGATTTTCTATGTTATTTCTATTTGAAAACCAGCAAATTTTCAGGTTCATCAACCTCCAGCCAAACCAATAAAAGCGGCAAAAGAAAATGCCAAAGAAGAGGAGACCCTCTGGATGTGACCGAGCCGCCAGCTCGCCGACAATAGGCAAAAGTTAACTGTGAGTGATCATTTCGAATGTGTACAGATGACAATGAACAATTGTGTTATTTCAGACCGTGGAGCTCAAAGACGACAAGAACCTTCAAAAAAGAGAAAGTGATGGGGAAAAGGTTAGAGAATTTAGGGCTTCCCATTAGAAAATGTATTTTTAAAAAATCAATTCACCCTTTTCTAACAACTAAACATTTCAGATCTCGCTGCTCCTCTTCTTCCAACAGCTTGTCCAAAATACTTGGAAAATTTTATGATGTTCTTAAAACAAAGTGATATTGCTGAAAATGAAGTTTGAAATGAAGATTTGAATGATGCACAGTAACTCGATGGGGAATGAACAAAAACTATATGACGCATGCCTAATGAAAGTCAAAATTTAATTTAAAAAGTTTTTTTTTTTTAACTGAAGATATTTGAAAAAAATTGTGATGTGAAATATCGATTTTTCAGGCTGAAACGTAGACTAGTATATTGTATAGTAACCCAACAAAAGATGAGAAGAAACTTTATAACCAAGACTACATCGAGGAGGCAAATTGGGTTCGAAAGATTTAAAATCGAAAATGAATTAGGTTTTAAAAAACTGCGACGATATATCTCAATTTTTGTTACCGAAACTGAAATACGGAAAAAATTACGCATTTCCGAAACGCAAAATCGGTAGTAATAATAAACATTTCCGAAATTGATTTATGCGAATACGAATGTGCTGGCAGCAAATGATAGCTGTAAGACAACATTTTCAAAACCTTGTTTAGTTTCCAAATTTCAATTTTGGAAAACCCGGAGAATCATACATTTCTATTTATTTTGCTTCAAATAGTTTTTGTCAGAATGAAAGCTTATTCACCAAGATAAAGTGGTATTCTGATAAAATTATATAGCTTTTAACGAGGATAATCTGTTATTACTGTAATTAGGCGACATTAGGGACAAAAAAGATTATTGAACATAATGAGAGGGGAAAATATTAAAGGGTATGTGTGAAGTGATAAGAATGTGACAGTTATTGAAACTGTTGTCTTCAATTAAAAATGTTGATGATAGTTCAGTAAAAATTGTCATCTGATTCGTATTCTGACAAGATCTCAGCCTCCTGTTGATGTGTAATGGGCCCATTGATGGTTTCAACTTGAGTGGTTGCTTGACGATGACGATCACGTCGACGAGCATTCATGAAGAAGTTTTCCACTGTTTCAATACTGATTTCAAGATAATCAGCAAGCTTTTGGTGCATTTCACGGGTTGGGCGTTGCGTAATTTTATAGACTGATTGAAGTGTCTGTTTCTGATGGGTAGTAAAAACAAAACGAGCAACTTTGGCAGCTGGATCACTCTCATCGGAATTCATACGTCTGAAATTTCATGATTAAATTGAACTGAAATAAAATAAATCTTTTTACCTCTTTCGTGCTCCACTTGGAACCGGCGTTGGTGGAAGCAACCCTTGAGCTTCAGCAGCTTCTTCTGGTGACATATCCAGAATGCTGAGCCTTGCTGTGAGTGGTTGCTGCAACCACTTGTGCATTCGACGAAATGTTTCTTGTCCGGATTTCAGCATATTCCATGGTTTGGGTTTACGGAGCAAGTCAGAAAGAGTTCCCTGACTGCGACACAATATTCTCTCGGCGAAGGTTTTCTGTGGGATGTGATGGGTCTTCAATTCGTTGACTATTCTCATGGCTACATCTTTTGTATCGATTTCTTCCTCAACTTCAGAATCATGAAGATCTTTTTGAGGAGCTTGACGAGATTTTTTCACTCTTTTGGGTTCTGAAAAATTGGTATGCTAAAAGAGGTTGAAGTGTCATATTTTTTAACGTTTTTTATTGATTCGTGAACACATTTTCTGGCGCTAAAATGAATTACTAGACTAATTTCCCATTGCCTAGGTCCCCGAAGTCTGATCCTTGGGTATGCAGCGCAACTTTTTGGCATAGCCCTTCCACAGCCCAACAATGTACCACGTAATCTACGTAAAAATGTACTTCTGATCCCTAATTTCCTTGGAGAACCCACTGTTATTCAGATAGACCCGGCCGGCTGGCTGTTGTATTCTTACTCGTTCAATCTGCCCGAATCCCACTTACTTTGCTTAGACAGTGTCTTCATGGAATCGAGTTGGTTTTCTTGATAGCCATAGTTTGGAGATATCCGGACCGAATCACCTCGTTCAACGTCTTCGATATCGATTTGCTGATGTTGTATTATTGATTTTCCACCGAAATTGACCATGTCTTGTTGTGAGAGATTTCCATTCTGTTTAGCATTTTCGAGATCGCTGGATCCATCTATGTTCAGGTGACTGTCTCCAAAACACCTCTCTTCGGCGATAAGGTTTTTCTGAAATCAACATTCGTTATTCGTCAGCGTTCATTGGATAATTCAAACCTCAATTTTTGTTTTTTTAACGTAGAATTGCTGATTGATGGTCATAGAAGATAGAACACCGTGTGTAGGCAAATCGGTCTCAGCTCTAAAAATGAGGAAAGTTTTGAGACTTGATTCTTAAATTTTCGGAACTTACTCTGATTCGTAGACGATGTTCATATGAAGAGAAGAATCTGAATCGACTGGCTCCCAAGAACTAAAATCTAGCACATCGCTCGTTGGAGTAGTCTTGGTAGAAGATTCTGGACTACTCTCCTTCGGACTGTCTGGGAAGTCCAAAAAGTCGTCTGGCAGTTCTTCTTGAGGTGGTCCATATTTATTGATGTATGTATTGGAAGGATCAACTTGTAGATAGTCGACGTACTTTCCATGCATTCCCATTCTGGCTGTTCTGAAAAAAGTTTGATTAGGAATAAGAAACGTCGATGACGGTGAATTGAGAGTCAGAAAGGAGAACGACTGAGACGTGACCAACATAAAGAAATGATTAAGACGGGGCAAGTGACCTGACAATTAGCACAACAGCCCATAATAGAAGAGGTATCTCGTTTGGTTGACATGTTATTCTCCTGGGAAACTGGAGACGTTGTTGGAGACTATGTATATGCGCACCTATTGCGGAATGGCCATGAAAACAATAAAAACAATTTCAAAAGTGATTTCATTGAGTAAATTGATAATCAAATAGACTACTGGTAACGTTTCAATTTCTGACTGTTCCATTCATTAATTTAACGATGGATTAGAAAGAAAAAGTTGCTGTAATTGTTTGAGGACGATTAACATGAGGGAATGAGCATTCTCTTCCTTTTGCTGCCCTTTTTTAATGAACACGTATCGTGTCGATTACGAAGAACTGAGAGCCAGACAAATGGGTATGAAAATATGAGAGAAAGAAAAACGACTGAGACCTGACCAACATAAAGAAATGATCAAGGCGGGACAAGTGACCTTCCAATTAGAACAAAAATCAATAATACAAGAGGTATCTCATGTGGATGACATGATATGCTCCTGGGAAACTGGAAACGTTATTGGAGAGTATGTATTGGCGCACATATAGATTGACGGAATCTCCTTGGCATGTAGCAGAGGCTATGTCGATGTCGTCACAAGAAGTGTTTGCGGACAAGTGATTTTCTGAATATATAAGAAATAGGCGCTTTTATCCTGCCTCACTATATATTCACAGAAAGCATATTGTCAGTCATAGTATTTATTAAAATTCAATTTTAAAGAAAACATTGGGAAATAGAAAACAGGTTTACAGCTTAACAAAGGAGTTATAATGCAAGATGTAGTTTTGATTAAACGGGAAACTTCAAAAATTGAGATCATTTTTTTATCACAGAGAAGACCGCCATCGCTCCAACGACCAGTCCAAGCGTCCATGAGTTAGCCGGGAACATTCCATTCATGAAATCTCTGCGAAATCTTTCTCTTCTGGTCATAACTAACAGAGACGCCGTCGTGAGTGACTGGAAAAAAAAAATTTTGTCGAAATTCTGTCTTTTGAGTAGCTGAACTTATAGGCACACCTTTGGAGGTAAAAAATTGTCAGTGTTTGTTTTAGAAAACTAATGGGAACCAGACAGCCCAATTGCTTTCAAGGCAATCTACTGAACAAATCACTAGGGAAGGTTGTAATTGTGTTCTGGAAGTTTGATATGAGTCCTATTTCATTTGAAAGCTGAGAATGGGACATTTTCAAATAAGTATTCTGTTTTTGCTTAAAAGCTACCAGTTTCGAGAAAATCATGTTTCAAATTGAGCTCAAATTTGGATCTAGATTGTAGGAACGGAGAGACGCAGCGAAAAGAGGTGTAGGGGCGAGGAGAGATCAACGGTATGTAACCGGTTGTAGGTTCGATTCCTCTTCCCGTAATATTTTTAATGCCATTTTCGGTTTTTGTGGTGATATTCGAAATGTTATTATATTAAAAATTATTTTTTGGATATTTACTGGTTCAACTTTCTGTCAAGCTTCGAAAAACAGATAGGCCATAGTTTTCGGAAATTTATTGAAGCAATACTTCAAATCTTTCTTCAGTTCTTCATTTCAAAATCCATCAGATTTGTTTGTCATTGGGGTTGCACAGTCATTAATAAATGAGACAAATTTTAAATCTATCTTTTTTTCAAGTTTTGAATGCTATTGGGTGAATATCGAGGGAATATAAATTCGATGATGTTCGAAAAAATTTTAAAGTTCTCAATTCCGAAAAGATAAAGTTTCCAAATCTTGCGAGAAGACTCATTTTAGCAAATTTGAAAAATTTGGGAGAAATTGTTTGAAAATGCCGAGAGGTACCCCATGGACATTTTTCTTCAATAATTTTTTTTTTGGAAAACGAGAAAATTTTTTCAGATTATAGAGAAACATTTGAATTTGTAATTACGATCAAAAAACTTCCAAAATCTTTCACCAACCATCAAATTTCTTTCACTCAAAAATCAAAGAGTAGTTCAATACAGGGTGGGCTAAAGTTTGGCAAAAAAGCTTGACATAAGCTGGTGCGCGCCGGCACACTTTTCCGGTTTTGCTTTTATGTACATACTCTTCGCCAGCCTCTTCATTAGTAAATGTGCAAATTTTCATGTTCCTACCTCAATTTTTGCGAAAATGGCACTATTTTCTGTACGCCCTTTTGATGTTTTTTCTGAACTACTGGCACGCGTTTGACCACCGCGTTCATTGATGAGACACTGTCCAGCTTATATTAGAGGCAAAATTCAATCCTGACAATTGTCATGTATAGGTACAATGCCCTTGGCTTTCTAACAATAATGGTACGCTAATTTTCTGGGAAGCCAACCCTCAGCAAACTATGACACTTGGAGGAATCACTTCAAATGGGGGAAACTCGCTGTTTTTCGTGGAGCCAGATGTGCAAGTGTACCAAGAATACTTCTTTTAGTAAAAATCATACTACAGAAATCAGTATATAACTTTGGATATCAAAATTAGCTTTCCCAAAAAGATGTACCGCCTGCTGGCGAAGCAAAAAATGTTCAGCAGTGGTGCCAAGCTTCAAAGTCTCAAAGTCTCAAAGTCTCAAATGAGATCCCCGGAAAAGGATGACCTGTTTCTTGTCAGATCACGATCCGATTGCGGTTTCCGCACATGAACTCTTTGAACATATGTTCAACTTTGTTTTGACCAGGTTTTTGATGGTCTCAAAAGGTCTCTCAAGACATTCCGGCTCTTTCTGACAATGGGGGGGGGGGGGGGCCCATGGGAAAAGGGGGGGGGTCAAGTGGAAAAATGTAAACTAAGTTAAGATATACCAATTTTTTCAAGTTTTCCGGATGTTTCTTTGAAAATTTCGTACTTTGCGCTTGTTTCCACAAAAACTTGTAACTTTGAAAAATTTCAGTTTTGGCCGGTTTTTTGCATGAACAACACTATTTTGGTAATTTAAACTGTGTAAGTTAAAGTTATTCAGCTAGTTTTAGATTTTTTTTAGGCTTAGTAACAAAAAAATAGACAAAAAATGTGAATAAATGACATAAACTCAAATTTTCAAAAAATTATGAAAAATGTTCAAAGTTCGAAATTGAAATGGAAACAGTCACAAAACATGAAAAATTGGTAAAATTCAACTAAGGCATAATTTTTCTACTTGGTATATCTTAACTTAGTCCACATTTTTCCACTTGACCCCCCCCCCTTTTGACTTGGGCCCCCCCCTTTTCTCATGGGCCCCCCTTGTCATAAAGAGGCGACATTCCTCGGGCGGAATGGGACCATATGTCGGCAGACCATCCCGTCCAGCATAAATGTTACTCGAAGAAGTTGAGTCCCGCCATCAGAAACAAAACTGCCTGAAGCATACAACTATAATTGAGTTTTGTTACAAATCTCGTGGTCTCTCTCATCGTTTCCCCTTCAGTTCTTGCTTGGGGGTGCGTTCACACTGGTGACGCTTCCATTTGTTTTAACTCACCTTTAATAAGTTGATTTATTGTTGATTCAATAAATAGTGTTTTATAGGAATTCTGTGTTTTAGTGTCTTCTAGTCTTCAGGTTACACAGGTCTCTTTGAGTGCATAGAGGTTCTGTGAGTGCATAGCGTTTGTCTGTGTCTCTCACTCTCTCTGCATCTCGTTGTTTTCAATAGTGTCTTTTAGCAGTTAGTGTTTCTGGAGGTCTTTCAGTTACATTACTTTCAGAATGAATTTCATTCCTCAGAAAATTGATTCTTGACGGAGCCCTTCGAACCATAGATTTTTGAAAACATTTCTCATTGATTCCGATCGAACGATGGCTGATCTTTTTGGCTTCATTTTTCTGCATTTGTTGACGCATACGAATATTCCAAGAGTCAGGCACCAAATGACCAGCATCACCAAATAAATTGCTCCAACAATCGACTGATCGTCATTTGGAGATGAGAATGGTTTATGGAGACCGCCGGGGAAATATATCATTCTGATGTTCTGAAATCACAAGATTCTGGACGTTTTTTTGCTAAATACTTGAAAAACAGGGCCTGAATTGATGACTTTACAGTGATATATTGACTTAAAAATGCAAGAATTCGAAGGTTTTTAAAAAGACGGTAACACTTTAAAAACCGAAAGTTTAACGACCTGCCAAAGATTCCAAGAAGATGTCAACATACATAGTTCATCATAATATCAAAAATGTTCTGTCATCTGACTCATCTTTGCAATCTCCAACAATAATTGAGTTAATTTATTTCTCAATTAACAGTGTAGGGCCCTTTTATTACATGTTTCGCAGTAGATTCACTCACCATAATATATGTTTTTTTCTTAGAAAAGATTCAAGAAATTTTTTGATAGCGAAATTCTGTTTTGAAGTAAAAATTTTGAAAAAATAAAGTTTTTCTCCGAGCCCCTTGAAAATGGTAACTCGGCAACCTACCTAGAAACAGGCATAAAAAGAACTTTACGACTTGTTTTGATGCAAAAACGACAAATTTTGTATTTGAAATTTTTCGATGGACTTCTGTGCGTACATGAGAACGTTTTTCAGATACAGGTGAGATTTTGCTCATAATTTGTAAAAAAGTAGTTTTGAACCTTTTGAAAACGGATTCAGCAAAATTCTTGTTCTCGAAAAACTATATTTCTGATTACGGATTACGCATGTGAAGAGGGTAGAATTGGAAAAATTCAAGGGTTAAAAAGCCAAATTCTTTGAAACTGTTCCCGATTGCTCTTCAGGCGTCTTTTTTGAATTTCCATGAAAAAGCGCGAGAATACTTGGTTGATCAACGATAGTTGCCTCGCTTCGTAAAACGAAAAAATCAGGAATTAATTGTGAATCAAAAAATTCTGGTACGATTCTATTTCGGATGTCCCAAGCAGAAATAAAAATTCGGAAAGAATAAATTTATCCCAAATATTAGAAATACATTTCAAATGTTTCAATATTTCTGTAGTTTTGAAAACAGCCCTAAACTTCAAATTTTTGTTTCTTGATTTTTAAAACATTGTCAATATTTAGTATTTGTTCGAAAGTTCTGAACATCATTAAAAATATCAGTTTTAATATTCAAAAATCATTTGAATTTCTTAACATTTTTTCCAAAGTTTGAAAATCCAACAAAACTCTGAATTCAAGAGAAATATCTCAAAACTCTGAAACATTTAAAAATTCAAAATTCAGTACAAAAATGTAGTATTACAATTTGAAATTCAGAAAACCCTGGTTTTTTCTTTTCAAATACAAAATTTGTCGTTTTTGCATCAAAACAAGTCGTAAAGTTCTTTTTATGCCTGTTTCTAGGTGGGTTGCCGAGTTACCATTTTCAAGGGGCTCGGAGAAAAACTTTATTTTTTCAAAATTTTTACTTCAAAACAGAATTTCGCTATCAAAATATTTCTTGAATCTTTTCTAAGAAAAAAACATATATTATGGTGAGTGAATCTACTGCGAAACATGTAATAAAAGGGCCCTACACTGTTAATTGGGAAATAAATTAACTCAATTATTGTTGGAGATTGCAAAGATGAGTCAGATGACAGAACATTTTTGATATTATGATGAACTATGTATGTTGACATCTTCTTGGAATCTTTGGCAGGTCGTTAAACTTTCGGTTTTTAAAGTGTTACCGTCTTTTTAAAAACCTTCGAATTCTTGCATTTTTAAGTCAATATATCACTGTAAAGTCATCAATTCAGGCCCTGTTTTTCAAGTATTTAGCAAAAAAACGTCCAGAATTTTGTGATTTCAGAACATCAGAATGATATATTTCCCCGGCGGTCTCCATAAACCATTCTCATCTCCAAATGACGATCAGTCGATTGTGGGAGCAATTTATCTGATGATGTTGGTTATTTGGTGCCTGACTCTTGGAATATACGGTGTAGATTGAAAGAAAGCGGCATTCTCACGAACGACAAGAAGTAGGAATGAGGCAAAATATGAGAAGCAAGTTTGTGAGATACCCTATCCAAAAAAAACACCCGCCAAGAAAAACCATCCCACTGACCAGATATCAATTCTCGAAATTAAGCATTCAAAATCGGAAAAAAAAAACTTTTGCATCAACATAATAAATACGAGCAAGATTTGAATTGTAGTTGTTGTAGGGAAGATGGAAGATGGTACCTGTCTGGAGACGTCAGGAACTGTTCAAAGAAAAATCGGTAAGGGAACTCGAAAAGACGTTACAAAGGCAACGTTGCCCGCAATTTCAGATCACAGACTTGAGAAATGCGCTTATTTCTCATTGTCAAGTAGGTTGACTGCCGCTTTCGGTGCGAGAGGTTTCTGGATCTATCCCTTGTTTGGCCCGTTTTTGTTTTCCACGTTTTGTTCAAGTGGAGATTATGAAGAAAATTTTGAGAAAGAATATAAACCAAGGATCTGAAGAATCCAAGAATCGTATTGGAAAATCAATAACTGATTTCAATCTATCAGAAAAAAGAAAGAAGTTACTAATCATTGGTCATTTGAACTAACAAAAAAATTGAAAATTTACACGCGGTCAGCCGCGGTTGTCTGTCATTTTGCATTGCCTCGATTCTTGTCAAATTTCAGATCAGCCAATCACTTCAAAAATTAAATAGAATTTCAAAAATTAAATAGAAAAATAGATTTATTCAAAAGATGACATGGCTGAATAAATAGAACATTATTCAGAATGAATTTCATTCCTCAGAAAATTGATTCTTGACTAATGTTTAAAGCAACATGTCCAATCTCATCGATGTGACCGTGCTCCAAATTGGTAAGCACGTCACTTTCATCAGCATTGCATTCCTCAGGAATCTCGGTTCCCGGCCTTTGGAGCCCTTCGAACCATAGATTTTTGAGAACATTTCTCATTGATTCCGATCGAACGATGGCTGATCTTTTTGGCTTCATTTTTCTGCATTTCTTGACGCATACGAATATTCCAAGAGTCAGGCACCAAATGACCAGCATCACCAAATAAATTGATCCAACAATCGACTGATCATCATTTGGAGAAGAGAACGGTTTATGGAGCCCGCCAGGGGAGTGTATCATTTTGATGTTCTGAAATCACAAGATTCTGACCACCTCTGTGTTGAATATTTGATAAAAAAGGGCCTGAATTGATGACTTTACAGTGATATATTGACTTAAAAATGCAAGAATTCGAAGGTTTTCAAAAAGACGGTAACACTTTAAAAACCGAAAGTTTAACGACCTGCCAAAGATTCCAAAAAGATGTCAACATACATAGTTCATCAGAATATCGAAAATGTTTTGTCATTTGACACATCTTTGAAATCACGCACAAGAAATGAGATAATTTAATTCAAACTTAACAGAGTGGGGCCCTACTATCACATGTTTAACAGTAATTTAACTCACCATATTATTTTTTGTTCCTTAGAAACTATTCAAAAAATTTTTGAATAGCCAAATTTCGTTTTGAAGGGAAAATTTTGTAAAAATGAAGTTTTCCTCCGAGCGCCTTGAAAAAGGTAACTCGGCAACCTACCTAGAAACAGGCATAAAAAGAACTTTACGACGTGTTCAACGTGAAAATGACAATGTTTTGTGTTTGAAAAGAAAAAGCCAGGATTTTCTGAATTTGAAATTGAAATACTAAATTTGGAATTTTAGAATGTTTCAGAGTTTTGAGATATTTTTTTTGAATTCAGGGTTATGTTGAATTTTCAAACTTTGAAAAAAATGTTAAGAAATTCAAATAATTTTTGAATATGAAAACTAATATTTTTAATGATGTTTAGAACTTTCGAACAAATACTAAATATAGAAAAATTTTTTCAAAAATCGAGAAACAGAAATTTGAAGTTTTGGACTGTTTTCAAAATTACAGGAATATTGAAACAGTTGAAATGTATTTCTAATATTTGGGATAAATTTATTTTTCACACTTCGAATTTTTTTCGGGAAATCCATTTTCCGAATTCTTATTTCTGCTTGGGACCTCTGAACTAGAACCGTACCAGAATTTTTTAAGGCTCAATTAATTCCTGATTTTTTTTCCGAAAAGCGAGGCAACTATCGTTGATCAACCAAGTATACTTTTTTACGGTGATTCCGTGCTCCAGGAACAAACGCCGCGATGTCACAATACACTCCGCTTAATTTGTCCCTTTTTTCGCTGTCTGACCAATACAATTGTGTTGAAATCGTTCGAATAAAATACTAAAAAATGTCTGATCTAGCGCGAAGGATATTCTTTCAAGATTACAGAACATCCCTTCTTCTATCCCAGAATCCTTTCTCCCTTCTATCTCACCGATTGAACTGAGACTATTCAACGGCGATCCCTAGTGGGGAGCACCCGAGGGAATCGAACCCACGAAAGTGTGAACCGTAGCCAGTGTTTTACCAATAAGCTATGGTGGCACAAGAAGCCTGAAAGCTTCAGGCCGTATAAGAACGACCGAGAAAGGTAAGCGCACGGCTGAAATATTTGGAAGCTCGCAATTTTTTTGATAGTCCGAAGTTCATAGTCCCAAGCTTCAAATTTCCGATTTTTTTTCCATAGGATTTTGAGATACGAGACCCACAATCAACATTTTCAGCGCCATTATCATTTTCATTGGACCACTTTTGTACGACCTCCTCTGACTGCAATACAAGGCAATCAAATTCTACTTTGACCACGAACAAGTACACACTAAAGGGCAGTAGGTCATTACGATATCTGTATGATGGTGGTTGTGATGAGAAAAACAACAAAAATATCATGTAAGGTCTAGTAAGATGTGAGTCGAAATGAAAAAAATGACTTGAAATAAAATTTGTGTTTATTACAAGAAAAAGATGAAGAAGTTTGTGATGCTTTAATACTTCTTTTAAAAAATGCAAAATCGATTTTTATCAAAATGATTGTTAAAAATATTCTGATCAATAAGATTTATTTCAAATGGCTGTTTGATTAATTTTAAAACATGCTGCTCCCTTCGAGAATCTTAAAGTACAATCGAATCCATGTCTTTAAGAGACATTCAAGCATCACATGACTTCAGTGTTCTTCTAAAACCTTTTCTTGTAATTAAAACAAACTTCTTTGTTGAAGAATACAAATTTTCTTCGTTTTTCTGTCGATTCGCTCTCTTCTCTAGCCCTTTCATTTGAATATCAAACCACGTCAATGTAGCCTTATGTTGGATGTCACCAACTCCTTCCCATTAGACATGTCTACTCACATGGAATGACTCCCAAGTGTTACCCTCGAAAAAAATCGAGACCTATATGGTTGGATAGAACGTAAAAAGTTATTTTAGATTCCAAACGGAATAGTTGGTAAAAAATTTTTTTCACCTCTAGGGAAAATCTCTAAAATCTAAAAGTGAGAAATATGTTTTTTCTACAATTGAAAAACTTTTGTTTCAAAACTGATGAGCAACTTAAAACACCTCAGACAAGAACAAAGTTCCTGCCGGGGGGTTAAAAAGGATGCCGGCAGGCTATTGAAGTGGTGGCAGGAGAAAGTACCTGCCGGCGGGCTAAACGACACTCCGCTCGCCGGGATTTTAATTTGCATATTTTATTATTTTGTTTTAAAGCTAAAATTGATTATGTCTATTATTTTACTGAATTTCTTTTACGAGGTATATAAAATTATTTGTTCCGACACTGTGTACATTCTGAAAAGGAAAAGTATTGCTCCGACATTGCAAATTTCCTTATATTTTTCAGAAAATCCCAAAATGACTCCTCAAACACCTCGCGGTCGTTTCTGCAACAATGGATCTGTGTCTACGTTTCCTCCTCCAACAGGTATTTATATCATTATTTATCAATTAAAAAAAACGTTACAGGATCTCCGGTTTCCATCGCCATTTTTGTTGTTTCACATGTGTCGTGAATCCGAATCCAATATCTCGATAAATCCTCTTACTTTCTCTATGTCAGATGTTTTGGTTATTCTACTTCTTTCACTTTCAGCGGCTACTAACCTGTGCGATTTTCCTGTTGTCGCTCAGTCTTCCTCACAATGAACGACTCGTGGTTCCGTAGAAGCAATGGAACATCTTCCGGATCATCGTCAATTGGCACACAAGGATTGTTTGGAAACGGGTCATTCGATGCGATGCCGTTCAACACGGACTTCTCGTTCTTCGTAAACAATAAGAACAATAACAAACCGTCGGTCAAGCTGCTCCCACTCTCGAATCGCCGAACATCATCACTGGCGAACAACAATTTGACTCCCGATTCGGGAAGTTTCTTTTTCAACGGGACGTCATCAGAAGACACCTTCTTCCCTTTGGACAGGGGCCAGAACGCATTCGTCGCAAGCTCAGAGTTCGCCAAGCCGGCGCGTACAGAGATTACTCTGCAAAATGTCGTCGTGAAGGAGCAGCTCATAAATTTTGCGATGGACCGTCACGGAGTGAAGTTCCTGGAGATCCACTATCCGACGGATGCTAATAACGATCTGCACAGAGCAGTTTTCGAAAAGCTCACCGAGTCGATGATCTTGTTCGGAAGATTGTGTAAAAATTCAAACGGAAACTTCATAATCCAGAAGCTTGTCGAATTCGCAACGCTCGATGAGCAGAAAGTGTTGCTGCAGAGAATGGTGGAGTGCGGATTGGCGGATATGTGCAAAGATAAATTCGCCTGCCGCGTCGTTCAAATCGCAGTTCAGGTATAGATCTTTTTAAGTTTCTAATTTGAGCAATATCTTGTTACAGAAGTTCGATCGTTCCGTTGTCACTGATCTGATCAAAGCGCTCCATTCCTCTGATTTAGTGGACATTTGCACCGACCAGACATCGATTCATGCCATGCAACGCATTGTAAGGCATCTTCCTGTCGACATTTGGACGTTCTTCGTGGAATTCCTGTACTCTGGCGACAATCCGATGGCTGTATGCAGAGACAAGTACGGATGTCGGCTAGTGCAGCAAGTCATCGACAGATTATCTGAGAATTCGAAGGCCCCATGCTTCAACGCACGCCTTCAACTTCTCCATACTTTGATGTCATGCGTGGTTCGCAATTGTTATCGATTGTCATCGAATGAGTTTGCCAACTATGTCGTTCAGTACGCCATCAAGTCGTCAGGAATCATGGAAATGTATCGCGATATGATCATAGACAAGTGTCTTCTGAGAAATTTACTTTCCATGTCACAGGACAAATACGCATCACATGTCATTGAAGGAGCCTTCATTTTCGCTCCTCCCTCACTTCTCACGGAAATGATGACCGAGATATTCGATGGTTACGTCAAGGATCATGGGACGAATCGCGATGCACTCGACATTCTTCTCGTCCATCAATATGGAAACTATGTCGTTCAACAGATGATAACGATTTGTACATCTGCTTTAATGGGAAAAGAGTGAGCACCTAATTAAACTGATTCTATCATTGACATTTCGTTTTCAGAGAGCGTCGGCTTTCACCATCGGATCTCGGAATGTATGCCGCGTGGTACGAGCAGCTGCTCTAAGACTTGATTTTTCAAAGTTAGCTCGGAACACGCAACGTTTGGCTAGGTCAATTAAACTTTTTGCTGACAATAATTGTGTGACTCTCTTATTGTTAAATGCACTAACCTAGTTGGTCTCACATTGATCCCCACTTCTGATGTTTTATCTCCTTTCCTATCAATCCAGTTTGATGGAAACACTTATTTCTGCCCCATTCGTTACTCCCCCATTGTTGTTAGATAAAAATAATTTCTTTTGATAATAAAAACTTATATTTTGTTAATATTCTCATTTGATTTTCATGAAAAAGGCCCTGGAAGAGGAAGGGGGGAAAGAACAGAAAGCATTTACCTGCCGGCGTGAAAGTCCATGCCGGCAAGCTAAAAAAAAAGTCCCTGCCGCTGCCCTGCGGCAGGAACTTCCCTTAACCCCCCGGCGGGAACTTTATTCTTGTCTGAGACATTAATTGTGAAATTCTGAGCATTAAAAATACATTTTCTGCTGAGTTATGGCAAAAATGCCGACACATACTTTTGTGCTCTGAGCATCATAACTCGAGAGCCCGACTTCCAAAACTCTTCAAAACTTTTTTGGTGCATATTTGGACACTGAGAATTATGTTACATTTAAAATCAAAGCCAGAAAAAAAAATCTGGAAAAACGTTTTTTTTTGGATTCACGAACCACTGTTACATCTGAAACTGCTCTTAAAATTCCGAGAATGAAAAATTTTCAAAAAACCGATTTTTATGTTTTTGGATTTTACAGCTATTCTCATGCAAAATTTCAAGTCGATTGAGCAATTTTGAACAAAGTTATGAATGTTCGCAAAAATTCTCCTCGCCGCTTCTCGCCACTGTAAATACTGTCCACAATTTTTTGGATTTTATGAATAGAAATAGTCTTCTCATGCTGCTCCAATTGTTTAATATTCTCCTTCAGTTTCTCATGAAACGAATCCAATGATTTAGAGGTCAAGAAAGAAGTGAGTTTCGTAGCAGCGAAAAGAATAGTTTCAGGCTTTTCGAGCTGTTCGTCGCCACTTCATCAGGTGCATTTCGATTAGCGATCAAGAAGGAATAATTGAATGTAGTACGAGCGTCTTCAGCAGAAATCCACTGAAAAAAGAGGAAATAATTTTTCAAAGAATTCAATAAATATCGTACCTTCTTTTCCTTATAATTTTATATTGAGGTCTAGATATTTTTCTAAAGCTTCTCGATGAACGGTGAATCCAAAGTGCACACGAGGCTTCGTAGGGAATTCAGCATCTCCTTAGAATCGATTTTTTGGGCATCTTCAAGGGGTGACGGCGGCGACGGTTCAATTCGAAATTCACATAACTTGTTCTCCATTTCCATCGGTTCTGTTTTCAAAAAATTCGACGGCACACTTGCTCTCGCTTCATGATCATAGGAGGCGGAGACAGCACTTCTGGACCCTCGTAAATCAGATCATCGGCTTGGTTTTCCTATTCATCCTCTCCTGCTTTTTCTGCTTTTTCGATTTGCGTTCTGGGTTGCTCTTTTTTTGAAGCCTCAGCTTTTTTTCTACACTGTCTGCTTTCGTGGAGGCTCATCGTCCAACGACTCGCTAGTGGAATCCGCGTGGCGTCTGGGTGATGGGGCTGATTTTCGTGTACGCTTCACAGGCGATTCTCGCTCGCTGTCCTCTAACTAAGTTTGGCCGATAGTTACGAAGTCTAAAGTTCAGTTTTTTGTTCATTTTTTTGTTTAAAGAAATTCTTACTTTTAAGAACACGCTCATGAATTCTCGCTGCCATAGATCACAAAAGAACATTTAAACTCAGAATGCCTTCGTACCATGTTTTAGGTTCATATTCGCTCCAGAGGTTTTATTCATGAACATTTTCCTTGGAAAAAGATTGACAAATCTATTGACCAAGCAGAAAAATCCACCATGCTAGCTGCAAAGAATTTTGGTTTCTCAATGTGGAGCTTTACATGTAAATCATGTTCATCAAAATTTGATCTGAAATTCAAAAAGTATTTCCAGACTAATTTGCAACACAAAATTGAACTGTAATGATAAAAATACATTTTATTACCGAAAAATTGAATCGAGTTAAAAATTGAGCAGAGAAAAATATTTCTTAGGAAATTATTAATTGTCATTTAAATCACTTATTAAACTTAATCATTAATCAATCAATTGTTTTGTTTGTTGTACTCCTCTATAGCCTTAGTGTATTCTCCTTCGAGTAGGCAGTTTTCTAGAGCAGCAACATGGCGTCGAATTGTGTGGCAGTGGAGGATCGAAGCGTTGAGCATCTCGGAGGCATTCTTAACGCTCTCCGGACCGCTTAGAAGCTGATTGAGAAAATCACCCGATCCATCAAACTCCAAGAGACTCTTCCGTAAGACTTGAAAAGCCGCTGATTGATTTGGCAGCATTCCCAACCATTCGAACACGTCATCCGCCTGAAAATATCAATGTTTGGTATTGTTAAACAATTTTTTGTTGATTATTCTCTAATTCTAGTCACTTTTTTTTTCGCTAAAACAATAAACTAACATTCCAATTGCGGAAGTCGTTGGATCTGCCAGGGAGTTGGAGAAGAGCTGCTCTCTCGGCCTGAAAATATTTTAGTGGTTTCATCTAATCAGAAATGTTTGCTTACGTTCAAATATTCTGGGCGCTGTGGCCGATCCAAGCGAACGACTGGAGTGACGACCACTTGGACCACTGGTGTTGGTGTGACTGGTGCCAGTTCTGGATCCTGCTGTGGTTGTTGTGCAGCAGCCTCGACAGGTTCTTGTGTTTGAGGGAGTTCAGCGGCTTTAGAAAGCGTTAGTGGAGCATCGAGATTAACGACTGTAGCTGGAACCATGACTTGTGATGATGTGGGAGCTGCGTCGTCCACTGCAGATTGTGTTGGTGGTGTTACAGCAGTTTCGAAAGCCATTGATTGAGATGGGACGGGAGCCACTGCTGCGGCAATTTGATAACCGAATTCCTGTTCTTCATCCATTTCTTGAGCTGGTTGCTCAAATTCTGGAGCGAACACATCATAATATTCATCTCCTTGTTCTTTTTGATGATTCGAGTTATCATGAGTTGCCACGTCCATGTTGATATTTTCAAATTTAGCTTCCATCTGGTCAAACCGGTAAACGTTTTTCTGCTCCGGGTTGACATTCTCCCGTTCTCGTGTAATCTGTGGCTCCATTTTGACGATTCTTTCAGGGAATGTATTCTCTGCTTCCTTCGACTCTTCTTTAACGATTGCCTCTTCTGGAGTTTTTTCACGAGTGTTGTTCTGCGCTTGATCATCCCTGACTATTGGTTCGTTGGGAGCCAATCCGGAAGTTGTTGCTTGCGTGGACGAATTGTCAACTTCTTCTTCGTCAGAATCATTGCCATTTATTACCCGCCGCATCGTTTGATTGGCTCGAACAGCGGACGCCCTCGCGCTTCTTCTGGGCCGAGAAACGGTAGGTTGTTGTCTTCGAGGCGGCGACGGTGGTGAAACTGCTCGCCGTTTTCTTGAGTTGTTTGAAGTAGACGGACGGCTGAAAAAATTATCTTGTTAGAGATTTTGCATTTTGTTTCACTTTAAAGGAGGCCATACATAAAAAAAATTTTTCCTGATATTTTTCATAGAGAACCCCCATGAGGGGTTGAACTCATGACAGGCAGCTCAGGGGTACAGCGCCGCTGCCGGCTGAGCTACGAGGGCGCGAAGGCGCCTGCCGACCGATGGTCTACATAAGCGCGGCGCGATTTCGTCCCCCGAACTGTCCCCCGAAATATTTGCCGTCTCGCCTCCTTCAATAAATTTGTCTGTTCTGATTGACTGCGCGGAAGACATTTTGAAACAGCTTACAATAGGCTATTCAAAAACCTGCATTGCATGCTAGTAAAGTAGATATTTTGGAATAATCTCCCTTTTTCCAATAAATAAGCCTATTTCATATTATTATTATCTTACCTCGAAGGGTTGGAAACTGGAACCGGTGAGTCCTCCCTGGGGGCATGTGTGTTGAGAAGAAATCGAATCCGATCATGTGTCTCATCTTCATCTCTCGACTTGCGGGCATATTTGCGTGGGTTGACCATGGCTGTAGTTTTCTGTAATATTCTTATTTACTGAAAAATTGCAATCAATAAAGAAGTTAGTGCAAAAATGACAAAATAGAGCAAGCTGAGAAATATAGAAAGCAAAATGACAGAATAAAAACGCATTATTTGGCGGAATTAAACAAGTATGGCCCACAACTATACTAGAAGGTCGAGTGAAAAGAACTAATAGACTCGCTAGCAGGCTTGGTCGGAATCGGAAAATCGAGTTCTCGATTTTTCCGATTTTCCGATTTTTTTCAGAAAATTTTTCCGTCGGAAAATTTTCCGAAAAATATTCGGAAAATTTTTTCTCGAAATAATCATGCTGCGTTCAAAGTGAAGAGGAAATCTCTACTTTGTATAGTTGGAACGGGTGCAACAGTAACCCAAGCGCGGCGAGACCCGCAATCGGTGTCGATTTACGGGGTCGATTGAAGGTGAATTTTTTTTAAATTAATTTTTTTGAATGAAAACATACTTTAATCAGGTCAAGTCCAGTCAAGAAGTCTTTCCAACACTTTACCGGCTTCACCTTCGTTTTTTTTCTGCTCCTGCAACAACGGCCGAAGCAGAAAGGTTATTCTCGTCGGCGAAAAATATTCTCACAGATAATAGGAAATTACTGAGCGCAGAAAATTTTTCCAAACTTCTTTTTTTGCAACAGAATGTAAAATTGATGGGATTTCATCAAAAAAATTCAAAAAATAATTAATACTTTTGTTACTTTTTGTTACTTGTGCTTGTTCATCTATTGTTTTCCATTTCATTTTTGTGCTTTTTGTTGTTTTTGTTGTTTTTGTCAAATAAACTGGTAATTTTTGACTAATTGAAATTCGAGAAAATTCGAGAGCTCGATTTTCCGAAAAAAAAGTCGAGAAAAAATTCGAGAACTCGATTTTCCGAAAAAAAAAGTCGAGAAAAAATTCGAGAACACGATTTTCCGAATTTGTTTTTCCGAACAAGCCTGCTCGCTAGTCTGCAAGATAGACTGCCTTCACCCATTAGGCGTCTTCACATTGTCAGTCAAATAGTACACACGATTTCTAGGGAAATCAATTTTATTTTATTAGATCAAACACATCCTGTTCTTATGGGATGAAAATCGATTTGTGATGGGAAACATGAGAATGAAGATCTTGGAATCTAATCAGTATGTGGTAATCAGATTAAGATGATTATACCTTAGATGACTTTCAGAGTTTAAAGCGATAACATTGAAAATTGGGAAATCGAACCGTTAGCAGAAATCACATCATTAGCAAGAGTGAAACCATACGCAGGAAAACAACCACCAGCAGAAAAAATGAAACCATTCGCGGGAAATCATTTCTGTGGAATTCGATATCGATGAAAACGTGTCGTTGGTGTTACAGCGATATCGAATATTTAAAGAAAGGTCTCGTTGAAGAGAGCAATCGCGCACAAGGAGAAGGAAAACGAGCAAACAGATAGAATGATCCAAATCTGATCTGATTCGACAGAAGAAAACAGATTTCTGACCATTTGATGAGCGCACTCGGTATCCGAAGATGAAACAGTGTAGGCCCTTCATTTGGTCTTGTGAGAAATATCGATTACTATTTTTTGGGGTAGCTAACTGAAGCCTTTTTTGAAACTTCATTAAGAAAAATAGCTGATTATGAGAAAATCAGAATAGTGTAACATTTAAGAAGCAAAGAAAAGCGTCATTGATTTTTTTGAAATCCATTTTCTTGAAAACATTTCATTGAGAAAGAATTTTCATTATGATCAAATTCGATACAAAAAACGCGCGATCGATTTTTCCTAGAAAACCCTCTACTGCAAAACGAAGAGAAAGAGAGCGTCCAATAAGAGAGGCAAATGAGCGAGGAGACGCAAATGTCGACTGGAGAGGCCACCTGCGTCTCTACAAGAGATCTTATCTATCGCGCGCGTCCACTCGAGACCCAACGAGGAAACAGCGTGCGCCTTTAATGTGACCTTCTGGGAAGTATAGATTATTACGAAATTTCTATTGTTTCTCAATGGGAAAGTTGTGATTTCTGATTGTTTCGAAAAAGGTCTGACTGGAAAGAAAAAAGAACACGATTAAGGAAAATTGTCGGTTTTAAACCATAAGTGGTTTTCAGGTGACGATTGAGTCTTTCAATATAGGTTTGAAGTGATAAAACTTAAACTGTGATGATGAAATCATTAGCAGAAATTTAAAAATTGGATCCATGGAGAGAAAAAAGTATGAAAAAGTCTTATGAAAAAGTTTAAAAGTTTACTAGCGCAATTAATGGTATTTTAGTATTTCAAACACAATATGTTCTTATGGGAAATATAATCGATCTGAGAAACTTGGAAATTGACTTGGGATATGGAATATAAATCACATATAATCAGATTAAGATGATTATACCCTAGTTGATTTTTAGAGTTTAAAGCGATAACTCTGAAATTAGGAAATGCAAACCATTATCAGCAAGAAACCGTTAGCAAGGAAGCAACCATTAGTAGGAAAGTGAAACCTTTCGCAAGAAACCATTTCTGTGGAATTCGATATCGATGAAAACGTGTCGTTGGTTTTACAGCGATATCGAATATTTAGAGGAAGTCTTGTTGAAGAGAGCACTGACGCACAAAAAGAAGGAAAGTGGGCAAACAAATAAAATGATTGGAATCTGATCTGATTCTACAGAAGAAAACAGATTGCTGACCATAATGAGCGCACTAGAGATTTGAAAAAAAAACAGTATAGGCCTTTTATTTGGTCTCGTGGGGAATATTGATTATTATTTTTTTTGGGTAACCCACTAAAGATCTTTTTTCGAAAACTTTCAAAGAAAAATGACTGATTCTTTACGAGAAAAGTAATTCAGAGTAGTATAACTTTGGAGAAACAAAAAAAGCGTCACTGACTCTGTTTAAATATATTTTTTTTTGAAAACGAGATCAAAAAAGAAAGTTGAATGATACACAAAAAAAGGATTCGTATAGTGAATTTGTCAACAAGAATCAATTGTTTATGACCAAAAAAACGCCACAGAATTTTCGTTGGTATCAAAATTGATACGAGAAACGCGCGATTGATTTTTCTATACTGAGAAACAGAGAGAAAAAGAGTGCCCATTAAGAGAGGCAAATGAGCGAGGAGACACCAATGTCGACTGAAGAGGTTACCTGCATATCTGCTAGACCACTCGAGACTTCACGAGGAAACAGCCTGCGCCTTTAATGTGACATTCTGGGAATTATCGATTATCACAAAAACTTGTTAAATTAGAAAATTTTGATTTCTGGTCGATCGATTGTTTTAAAAAAGGCCCCACTGGAAAGAGAACAAAAGATGATTGAATAAAATTTCATGAATGATTTTCAGCTTTTTAATGAATTTCTCAAAATAGGTTTGAAGTGATAAAATTCGAAATCTGGCATTGAAATCATCAGCAAAGTTTCAAAATCGGGCGCCACGGCAAAATTCGGCGAAAAAATTTGAGAAAATCGATGAAAAGGAGGAGAAATAGACAATTTTCTCAAAATTCTGAGAAAAGCGACCAAAAATGGGAAAAAAATCGATGCCAATCAAGAGAAAATGGGAAGAAAATAGCTAGATCTCAAAATAGTTAATCTCGCCGACGATTGATGTAGGCGCGCTCAATTGGACAAACTTGACAAAAAAAGTGGAGGGAAATTCTAATCATATTTTTCTTAACGTCTTGCGAAATATCGAAAAAAAATAGAGAAAATAAATGATCTGATCTGATTCGACAGAAAAAAACAGATTCCTGACAATCTAATCAGCGCACTCGGGATTCGAAGAGAAAATAGCGTAGACCTTATATTTGGTCTTGTAAGAAATATTGATTTTTATTTTTCGGGCTAACCAACTAAATACCTTTCTTGAAATGTCTTGAAGAAAAACAATTTCTATGACAAAAGTAATTCAGAGTAGTATAGTCTATGAGAAGCGAAAAAAAGCGTCACTGCCTTTTTAAAATAAATTTTCTTGAAAACAGAGTCATTGAGAAAAGAAAAATGTATGAAACGCAAAAAAGGATTCGGATAGTATACGAAAAACGCGCGATCGATTTTTCCTAGAACACCTCCCCACTGCAAAACAAAGAGAAAGAGAGCGTCCAATAAGAGAGTCAAATGAGCGAGGAGACACAAATGTCGACTGAAGAGGCCACCTGCGTCTCTACAAGAGATCTTATCTATCGCGCGCGTCCACTCGAGACCCAACGAGGAAACAGCGTGCGCCTTTAATGTGACCTTCTGGGAAGTATAGATTATTACGAAATTTCTATTGTTTCTCAATGGGAAAGTTGTGATTTCTGATTGTTTCGAAAAAGGTTTGACTGGAAAGAAAAAATAACACGATTAAGGAAAATTGTCGGTTTTAAGCCATTAATGGTTTTCAGGTGACGATTGAGTCTTTCAATATAGGTTTGAAGTGGTAAAACTTAAACTGTGATGATGAAATCAGTAGCAGAAATTCAAAAATCGGGGCCATGGAGAGAAAAAAGTATAAAACAGTCTTACCGATTTCTTCCAATATTTTTGGAAATATGTCTCAAAAAGGAAGCGCATGAAGCAAATGAAAAGTGAACGACGAAACAGAATTAACTGAGCCATACTTGTGTTCCTGTGTAAATCATGATTGATCAAAAAGTTGAAGTAAGACTCGGATGTTGGCAAACAACAAGTCACCCTATCTGAGTTTCTCGGATTCTGTTGAGAGTAAAAAAAATTAGAATCCGGTGGCAAAATCAATAACAGGTATAAGTAAAATGTGGTTAAAAATTCGGAGGGTACAATGATTCGGGGGTACAAGGGGGTACAACTGATTTAGGGGTACAAAATTGGTGATTCGGGGTAAAAAATTCGTGGGTACAAAAATTCGAGGGTACAACGATTCGGGGGTACAATGTACCAATGATTCTGGGGTACAACTTATTTCATTTAGGGGTACAACGTTTGTGATTCGGGGGTACAATTTTTTTTGACGAAGTTTCTGAATTCGAATTTCA